CGCATCACTAGGATTGAATGCGCATCACTAGGAATGAATGTGTATCACTAGCAATGAATACACATCACTAGGAATGAATGCGCATCACTAGGAATGAATGTGCATCACTAGGAATGAATGCGCATCACTAGGATTGAATGTACATCAATAGGAATGAGTGTGCATCACTAGGATTGAATGTGCATCACTAGGAAAGAAAGTTAATTTTTGCGGAGAGAGAAAGACCGGAGAACCCGGAGAAAGAACCTCTGAGCACAGGAGAGAACCAACAAACGACTCTACTCACATACGACATCGAGTCCCACGGGACTCTGGGTTGCGTTGGAGAGAAGAAAATTTAAAAAAGGAAAATAAAGCAAAATGATAAAAAAATACAAATAGAAATCGATAAACTCATAAATTAGAAAAGGAAATATTAAAATGATAGACGAAAAAAAAATCAAGTAAATGCAAAGAAAATTGAGAAAAGAGAAAAGAAATCTTCCCGCCGATAGTCCAGTTCCCAGTCTATCGCGGTCCTGTTAGCATTTGCATATTCGCACCTCGAAGACCACGTTTCTTGGTCCAGGTTAACGTTGAGTAAGACCCATGCTTAACTTTGTTCCTATTTATCTCGGCTACTATTTTGCTCATTTTTGGATCAAAATTTTGGTTTCATTTTTTTATGAAATATGATGTTATAAATACTTTGTACAATAAAAATACTTTGTATAACAAAGATATCTATCAAAATGTTGTGATCCCTCGAAGATTTGTAGTGAATTTCTAAGCGAAGTCTTCAAAGCATCGCTTTGTCGGAGCGATGTGCTCAACTGCGATAAGCGTATGCGTGATGACGACATGACATAACAAACAACGAACCATTTTACAAATTGGTTTTGTGTATGAGCTTAAAACATAAGAAAATACTCTGGTAAATAGGTAAGAACCCCTTAAACGTCATGTAAATATGTCCTGCTCTGTCCAAGGAAGATCATAAAATATGTATATTGCTGTTAAAAAATGTTAATCTGCTGTTGCCCTGTTCATCAATCTCTGCAGGTATTCGGCATGATGGATGGCAGAAGAAACCACGAAAGAAAACAAGAAAAGAGAAGAACTAATGTATATAGAGTCGCCAAAAAGACGGATGAATCGAGACTCGAAAAAGTGTTGCTGAATTACGTTTTGAAATGCGAAAAGAAAGAGCTGATTTAAAGAGATAAGAGAAAATATTATAGATAGATAAGATAGAAAATAAGTGAAAGACGAAATAGAAAGCATAAAGAAAAGAAAAAGAAATGAAGAAAAGAAAAGAAAAAAAATAATTAGAAAATGTGACAAGCAATACACGCGGTAAAGAATCCGAAATAAAGTGAGTCTTAATAAAATACTTTTCAAAAAAGATGCAAAATGTCAGTCGTTACTATACGAGCCTCTTTATCATTCCCAAATTATCTTGAACAGAGTTTTACAGGATAACACAAAAGAAATACCACACATTCCTTCGAGAAAAGCTGTGATTTTCCTTTGTATTTTCCTGTTCTGCTCATATTCAGGGTATTGTGACTGTTCAATAATTAGTAATACTCGAGGGATTGACACAAATATAAAGAACGGAAAACATTACTGATTGAATAAAGGCAGAGGCTTTATTAAAATACAAAGAATGCTGATTCTGTGAAAGAAATAACTGATACTCGAGGTGACTAAAACACGGAACACTTTGAAAAGATTAAAATAAAAAACTGGAACAATGCATTTTCAAAGTGCAAGATTTTTTGCACGGGTCTCTACATCCATATTCACCCAAATATGACGTCATGTATTTGACTTCTTTAGGCGCTGTCTAGTTTAGTCACGTGTTATTCCCTCGTGTAATTCTTTTATTCTACGCTTGAAAACACTTATTCAAACTTAAGTCAAGGAAATATTTTTATGCGCATAATTTACTGGTATGAAACGGTTGGTGCGGCGTACTGTTTTGCTCCAAGAAGTAAACTCAAAATAGACGCGCAAAGTGGCGACGAAACAAGATTTAATTAATGAGGATTGAACGGTAAACTTTTGGGACACAGTACAACTGGTTTTGAAAGAAATTTGTTGAGCTTTTGACTCGACTAGAGTCTTGATCACTGAAGTCACGCTATCAATAAATTACTGTCAAAAACTGCAGTCTGTACTGTCTCAAAAGTTTATACGGTTAATCATGATATTTCTCAACTAGTACAGATGAATTTTCTTGTCAAACTTTTAGGACACAGACAACTGGTTTGGAAAGCAATTTGTTGAGCTTTTGACTAAACTAGAGTCTTGATCACTGCAGTCACGCTATCAATAAATTACTTTCAAAACTGCAGTCCGTACTGTCTCAAAAGTTAATAGGGTTAATCATGATATTTCTCAAGTACATATGAATTGACACGATTGTCAAGAGTTAATAAACTTTATAGTTCAAAGTGTAATAAAAAATGTTGACGCTATCTCTTGGTGTGCTTTATTCTTCTGGTCAAGTGTCTCAATAATAAAGGCATTTTTCAACTGTTGTTTTATTTTTCTCGTTTTCTGTTTTCAAGGGTGTCCAACAATAATGGGTCGAAGACAATACATCAGACAATAAAAGTTCAATGTTCTTTTATTACAATCTGCGTTAATTGATAAAATTACAAGAAAGTAAAATGAACTCAAACCCCCCGAAAAATTTTTTTCTGTCGTATAAAAGTGAAAAAAACGACAAAAAACCCAAAATTTGGGGTCACGTGACGTATCACGTGACTAATTAACATTTTTTCTTTTTTTGCCTAAAACAAGCCCTTTTAGGCAGCTTTAGACTCCGTAGAGTCGCAAAATAGCCTTTACTGCCCATTTTACACGTATTGGACGAAAAATATTGCCCGAAACTTGTCAAATTTTCCTTATTTTTTGGCCAAAAAGTCCGGTTTTTGCGGGATCCCTGTGTAAAATGCTAGTATCCAGTCCCTGTGCATGTCACCTCTTCATTTGTTGCACGCTGCTGTTCGTTGTGGATGTGTTTCAACGGGTGCAAATACATGATGGGCTTTTTGGCTGAAATTGTACAAGAACAAAGATGGTTATTAGCTC